GCCCGGATTACAGTTTGTTCTACCTTTGTCTTCTGTTATCAGGGTATATTTAGTTGGCTCAACCCCAGGAAGATATGTAGGTTCAGATATGGAGCGCTGGGGCCACCTGAGGCTGAGGAAGGTAAAGATTTCCCTTCAACTTTACTGTGCGACTATATCACCACTGAGGTGTTGCTTTTAAAAAGTTGGGTTATAATGTTTATAGAATAGATAATTTTCTGCAAAATGCAAATGCTTAGAAGGAAAATGGCTAAAATATGCAAAACATATGACTGGATTTTCCCTTCTTCTGTTTTTTTGTTTGTTTTTAAGCTGTTGTACGAGCATACAAATCCTATTCCTGGCGAGGAAAGGTGGCCAGTGATTGGCCAGTTTTCCAGCATCGGCTCTATGGGATTGGATAAATCTAAGTGGTTGGCGGGGGAATTTCAGCGCACCCTGACCACACTAGGAAAATACTCTCTTCGCCCAGACCCTCCTGTGCACTTGGTCTGTCCAACTACAGCAAAGATAATGCTGTTTGCTGCATGATCAGATTTAAAAGAACTGTCTGCTGGTGTAGTCACTGAGTTTATTAAGACAGGAAACTTTTTCACTCAGGTTTTCAGACTTTTTTTTTCTTATATATTTGAAAACTTTAGCACTAAATAATCAATCAAGCAGTTGCCCACTTCGTATATATTCAGGGTTTTGCTGTTCCACTCTTACTTCCAGTCATTCCTTTTGTTAGAAAACTTTGAGAAGATATTTCTCCAGCTTGCATTATTGAGCCACTTAGCTCATTTTATGACTTTTGTGTTCTTTAGCATTAATAATTACTACGCTATGTTTGACCACAGTTTATTAAAAGTTACAAAGCTCTATATTTCTAAAACAAGTTTTTAATGGGACCTTCTTTTGCAGCTTTATCCATCAGTAGAAGATGTGAGGACGAGTTTAGAGGGATATCCAGGTAAATATTCTTTTTACTCACATTTGAAATACAGTATATTTCATTTAAATAACAAAACTTTTTCAGAATACTTTTAGTATTTTCAATTTGGGTTTTTTAAATATTTCTGTTTTTATTATTGTGAATTTACTTGTAATCTAAACATTTTTGTCCTCCAGCTGGAGGCTCTCTTCCCTACAGTATCCAGACAGCTCAGAAACAACTTTGGCTCCATTCTTACTTTCAGTAAGTTTTATCAAAGCAAAATTCAGTCCTGCTGTTAGGGCGTAGCAGTAATCAGTCACTTCTAGTGTGCAAGTATGATTGCAGTCTCCAGCCCTTTTTTTTTGTTTATTGTCACATCTGTTTTTAACACAGAATCCTTCAGGTTGATCACAAATCAGAATAAATAAGTAAATAAAAGCAAAAAAACAAACACAGCTCAGAAGAATCAGAGACGTTCAGGAGCACCAGAAGGAAAGCAAATAGTGCAACTGATTCCAAATAACTCACTGCACAAACCAGTTTAAATAAACAGTTGGGTTGGACTAATGAATTATCTAAGATTATTAGCTTGTATCTAATTTCAGTGTGCATATGGGACCACAATTTATTACTGTAGCACAAACACAACAGATGGCAACTAAAGTGTTGAAGAACATCAGGGAGAAATTAAAACAGATGAACTGACTGAGGTGCTTAAAAACAGTTTTAATAATGTAACATTACTAAACGCTTTAAACAAATGAGAAACATTTAAACCCAATATTTGATCTGAAGACATGGTCAATACTGCACATAAATCATAATCTTGAAGTTGGGGCTAGTCTGAAATTTGGTAGTGGAAAAGTTTTTTAGTTGAGATTTTAATGAGGTGGAAAGCCTGAAGTCTGGAAGTTTCAGAGCTGCTGCTGAGCAGCTGTACTTTAAGAGCAGTGATCAGCTAACACAGCTAAATGACCAGAGTTATAATGGTTTTTCAGGTCTAGCAGAAACACTGGGATTTGCCTATTAAGGCAATTATTGAGATGTGAGAAAATGTATTTAGATTAGCCATAACATAACATTCCCAAAAACAGGAAAAACATTGAAGTGATGGCCACATATGGTTTGCTCTGTTATCTTCTGGGTTATATTTGACATCCAGGTGCATGAGGTGGGCCGTAACTAGGCATTGACTTTTGCTTCTTGGCGTTCTCTGTAGGTTTTAGAACAGCGGTCCCCAACCCTTTTTTGCGCCACAAACCAGTTTATGTCCAACAATATTTTCATGGACCGGCCTTTTAAAGTGTTGTGGGTAAATACAACAAAATAAAACCAGTTCCTGTACCCAAAAAAGTTTGGTACAGTTTGCACACATCTTTTAAGTGATCCGTGGATTCTTGTGTGTGGCTGTTTTTAGCCGCTGGAAGGCAGAAGCAACGGGGAGGAGTCACGCCATGCCACATATTAAGACATACATGAGGGCATCTCAAGATTACTCTCAGCTTGCCTGGTTCCTTGTCACAAGGTTTGTGTTAGTGTGTGTCTTTGCATCTATTCTTTTATTTCTCATATAGCATTTACTGCTAAAACAGGCAGAATTACATTTTCATGCAAAACTAGAAATGCGCTTTTCTTGTGGGTTGCAGAATTCAGAGTTGTATGCGTATGCTGTGTTTATATAATTAGTAATACAACTATGTGGTTGATAAAATTAGTTTTCTATAATCAGTGATAGCATATTCTTGTGTAATGGTTGCATCTTGTGTTGTATCATTGTTTGCCATTAGTCTGATCATTTCCTGGTCACCTGAGCTGTAATAAAAGGTTTCACTTTGCATCTTTGGTGGGTTTCAGTGCGAATCTCTCCAAGGCAGCATGGGGTGCGCTAGAGAAGAACAACACTCAGATGATGGTGCGTTCGTATGAGCTGGGAGTCCTCTATCTGCCGTCCGCCTTTGTAAGAGCAACATACGATTTAATTGTGAAAAAAAAAAAATTTCTATTGCGTTTATCATTATTATAAAAGCCCTGATGTGTAGTAACATGATGACTGTCTCCCTACAGGGCATGAAGACATTCTCTGTTGACAAAAATCCATTTCCGGTCTCTGCGTCCTTCTCGGGTTTCCCAGTGCCGTTCGATCTCCCCCCTACATCCTACACTACTAAAGGTACTGGGTGTTTTCTGGCTTTGGAATCAGACTCCAGGAACTGTAGTTTTCAATACTTCAACGATGACTTATTTTTTTTTAGTCTTATAGGTTTTTGTGTGTTTTCATCCACATTAATAGTTTCTGAAAACACTATCAGTGTGGATCTAGCACCCACCAGTCCTGGCTCTATGTCCTGCATAATGTTCCTTTTTATCTGGTAAATCAAAGTATCAACACTTTGAATTTTACTTCACTCTTTTCCTTCTTTGCTCTCAGATCAGCCCTGGATCTGGAACATTCCTTACAGCCAGGCTCCCGACACACATGGCAACATCTGGGTTCCCTCCTGATCACACGCACACACGTCTCATTTGATGTCTGTACCTGTTAGTTACTGTGTTTAGTTGTTAGTGGTCATTAGCATTTTTCTAAATACTTTTATACTGTACCATATACTCATATGATTTCTACCAATAAATAAAATATTGTTAGATTTGTGTATTTGCAATGTCAGTTGTTGTTTTTCAGCATTAGAATAAGATTTAAACATAAGAGGTTGCACTCAAATAGCTTGAGTTATAAGTCTTCATATGTAATTCCAATTTAGAATCCCAGGAGAGGTCTGATGTGATCTTATTTTGGCATAATGGGGGAGGTTCTGTGTAAATTTACTTAATTTAAAGTGACAGCTCTGTATGAAACATCCATTTTAAGTGAAACCTGTTGCACAGATTCATAAATGTTCAAGATATAAGCTTGTTTGCTTCTTAATATCATAAAGGGTAAAGCTTGTATAGGATTTGGGGAGAACATTAATGGCTCATTTTTTTTGTTTTTAATCGCCGATCTGCACGCATTCCTATTTTTGGTGGTTGGGATTTACAGCATTTTGTGTGTTTTTTACTATCAGGTTAATGATTATATCCATATATGTACCCCTTGGGGTAAATTAATTACTGATTAAGCAGTTTGAAAGAGCCACAACCACGTTTTCTCTCTTTAACTTGGGTAAGTTCATCTCAGCAAGATGCCTTTTTTTCACGTGTTTTAATGTTAGCTCGCTACATATTTACACTGGTTAGAATTAAACATATTTACCAGAAACCTCAAATTAGCACCTATACAAATACAGTATCTTTTCCCTAGATCTTTAAAAACCCAGGGTGTATTAAAAAGCAACTATTCATTGCTGTCTGAATACCCTTTTTTTCTTAACCTAGCTTCAACAGCTCTTTCCAACATCGTCTCATCATCTTCATCCCACAGTAAATACTACAGCTCTGCACATCTTCTCCAGCATCGGACGCTTCCTCTCCATTCCTGGGGAAGAAGTGTCTTGGGGAGTAAGGCATCTCCTCACTCTCCAAGATTGTGTTAAGTGATCTGGTCAAAGATGTCTGCTCTCTCTTCAAGACATCTCAATACCTCCACAGGTATGTCACCTGGACCAAGTGCCTTTCTACTCTTCGTCCTCTTCATATCTGCCCTTCTTTCTAATTCTCTATAATTCCCGATCCTTTGTCCAGGCTTCTCTCTCTTTCTCCCTCGATTTCTTCATTCATAAGCTCCTCAGAGTACCATCTTCTCAAGACATGCTCTCCATTTGTTAGTACATTTCCATCTCTATTAGGCTGCACATCCTTTCCAATCCAATCTTTCTGCTTAGTCTGTAGATCAATGTTCTTTATATTTGTAATAAGTTTCCTAAACGAGTTAATGGGTATGCTACACCTGTAAATTCACACAATGAGCATCTGGTCTGAATTAGGAGTTAAATTAGGATTCGGGGTATAAAAAGTGATTTTACAGCTTAGAAATAATTGCAATTGGGAATGTAAACACTGGGATGTACTCCCTAGTGTGTGAACAGAACAAGAAGCAAGATTATACTTTCAGCTTCTACTGGGTTTCAAATTTCTTCTTCATTTTTTGTCTGCTTCCTTTAGGGGTCGCCACAGTGGATCAGCTACCTCCACCCTATCCCTAGCATTCTCCTCTGTCACATCAGACTGCATCCTTCACTACATCCATGAACCTTCCCTCTAGTCATCCTCTTTTCTTTCTCCTGCTGCCTGGCAGCTCCACCTTCAACATCTCTTATAACCAGTTTATTCACTCTTCCTGCTCTGCGCATGTTCAAGGCATCTCAGCCTTGCCTCTTTAACTTTGTCTCCAAGCAGCTCAACCTGTCAGTCTGACATACTCATTTCTAATTTTGTCCCTCCCGATCACACCAAGGGAAAACCTTAGCATCTTCAACTCCTGCCACCTCCTGTCTTTTTGTTAGTGGTACTGTCTCCAAATCATACATCATAGCAGCTCTCATTACCATCTTGTAAACAATCCCTTTCGCTATTGCTGCTATTCTTCTGTCACACCCACTCCACCCTGCCTGCACTCTCTTCTTCACCTATCTTGTAGATTCTCTGTTGCTTTGTGTTGCTTGGTTTTATGTTTAGAAAGATTAATAAAGTTACTGGTTAAACTACATAACATAGGGGGTAATATAGCCAAACTTCTCACCCGTGTGAAGGTAAACAAGAACAAATGTGAGTGCAGTTCTTAAATAAGGTGTGAGACATACTGCAATGGGAAGGGGAAGGGGAGGGAGGGAAAGCAAATAAATGCAGTGTGAGAAAAAAGGAATCTAAAACTACACAAACAGCAATGAAATTTAATACATTTAGTGATTGTAAAAAAAGTAGAACAAATGGGTAAACTGGCTCTGAACCTGTTTAGAAGTATAACCAAAAATATATGTCAGACCAAATTATTAGAAACATCCCACAGCACTGCTTCCAAGCAACAGCTCTCTGCCACTGTACTGAATCATATCTGCAGCCAGGTGTCTCTAATAAACTGGCAACTCTATTTACTGTACGTTCAGTAAACTGCGACTCCCGTCGTTCTTTGCGTCGGTGTGTCAACATGGCGCCTGTCTGCCGGACAAAAGGCGAATCTGTCTGACGGCGGATTGAAGCCCAATTAGAAGCAGAGGAGACATTTTGGGAAAACTGTCAGTGTCTGTGTGTCCCTGCGCCCCGAGGCGATAGATATATGGTAAAACAAACATCCGCGGAGGCTCTTGGACTGGAATAATAAGGTAAGTTAAGTCCTCCAGCTCCAACTACTGCTGTCTTCAAACGGTCCTGCCAGGAGCCCGATGCATTTCCTTTTTTCTGTCTGATAACTGCAAACTCCTTAAAAAATCCCCAGTGCCACCGCAGCGGTGTTTTCCCGCGGCGGTTAAGTTTCACACTATCAAAACTGATATTAACGGTTTTGTCTGAAAAATAACGACTCGGGCTCTCATTCGGCGGGTGTGTAGTTCTCCAAGAGTCACTTAATAAAAAATAATGTCAACTTTTCCAGTTGCTGTACAATGCTCGCTAATGCGGTGCACTATGTATTCCAGCAGAGCGTCGTAATTACGCTGAATAATGAAAGTCATAATAATTGCCCTATTCTACTGTGTTTACTAGGAATTAGTTTATAAGATGTATGCCGAATTCACGTATTGTTATCCATTATATGTAAAACGTATTAGGACATCTTCTATCGAGAAGTCAGTGTTTTCCTCGAAGCAGGGGGAAAATAAAATCCAGTTTTCTTTAACGCGATTCGGCGTTGAAGTTGACGATCTAAAGACGGACCTCTGCATCGGATTTACCTTAAGACGGGGCTGTTACAGTATAACATCTGGTGACAACAGTCGACTAGTTTGTCTTGCGTTTCAGGTTTAGAGTCCAGTTAAAAAGTTTCTTACTGTAATTTAAGGACTTTGTGCATGTGCACAGCTGGCACATGTCTGCTACCAGTTCATGCCACGTCTGGATAAGACTTTAAGTAGGTCACTGGGTTCAGGAATGGTAATAGTTTTCCTAATGTGTTTGACTTTATCTGCTCTACTTGAAGAAAGAAAAGTCATAGCCCACATTTGCGCAGTGTGAAGTTTTGTTTTTTGTTTTTTTCAGGGAGACAGTTAGATTTATTTTATTTTTTTGGACTGATTATTATTTAAAAAGATCTGTAGAGTAAAACTTTAATGCCCCAAAGAGACAGGTATCCTACAGTCTCAAGAGGGAATGGTTCAAAATTTGTTTAAGAAATAGCAGATGGAATCAGTAAGAATATGAATTCATTCTCTGAAGCTGAGTTTGGAGAGAGAGCAAACCTTCACCTTGGAGGTAGCATTTGCAACTCAAAGGATGCTAAGGGTTCAAAATGGTCCGTAACATTTGTTCCAGATGCTGAAGGTCACTAAGGGTGACACCAGCAATCTTGGAGCACACCTTGACAGATTTGCCCAGCTTGCTTCTGTTTGTAACACAAGGAGAGTGGCAAATCATAGATAATAAAAACAAGGAACTTCCTTAAAAAGAGCAACCGTTGATTTGCTTTTTTATTTTTTACATACAGCATGAATCAATCATATTAGGTACTATTCTTGTCTGCACCTCAAAAAGGAAGTGTGTGCATATGTGTGTTTTCATGTACTCCATACAGTGCTTAGCAGGCATGAGCCAGTGCCAAATACTATTCAATTATTGGTAAATCTGTCTGTGCTTGCACACATATCCTGTTATTTATCTGCTGGTTTTGTGACAAAGACTATCAAAGCTACACACATCCATTTAACAGCTAGACAGAGGGATATTATTTTACTGGCATTGTGGCATCTTATGAAGGGCGTTTCTCTGATTTTGTTTAAATGGGGTGGCACAAAAGAAGAACAAGGCAGGAGGGGCCCACAGAAAATCAGAATATTTGATAAAAAGTAAATACAGTGCAGGAACTTGGTGCAGAAAACACTGGGAAAGATTTTTCAGTGTTTCAATGGGCGTTGTTTTGTATTAAACTGACCCTTTATTTAAGTAGGGTTATGAGTTTGATTTAAGTAACACAAAGGTATTAAAGGTTTACCATCAAAATATACCTGCAGAATCGTAGACGTTATATTATCACATTACAATTATTGATTCTTTGATGTGTATATCATTTTAATGCTTAAGCTGGAGATGCTTTTAAATACTTTATGTGCCACTGAGTAGCTTTATCGATAATAATACAACATAATATCACGTAATTTATATTTTTAAAAGCTTCAGAATATTAAGTAATGCAGCTTTAAAATAAATTGTATGGAGTACAAAATGTGGCAAAGAGCATCATATTGAGTAGAAGCACAAAAAATACTTAAAGTACAAGTACATTAAAATCCACTTCAGTAAAGTGCTAGTGTACATTTACTGGATACATTTGCTATTTCCTTGTTTTAACAATGATTACAACTGTTGAAGATTACATTTGGACTGCTTTAACAAGGTACCTTGTCTGTGCTTTATCAGTGTTATCCTTTTACCAAAGTTAGTGTGGTTCCCAGACGGTGTTAACATTTTAATGGCAAACCTCAGCTGGCTGGATGAAAACCTGATATGGAAGCTACAGTTTCAAATACAGCGAATAAATGTTGGTTTCCTGCCTTAATATGGTTTACTGTTAGTGTTCTCTGCTGAAAGGAAAGGTGGATTTTTGGTGGCATTCACTCATGTCTGCTAGGCATTGTTAATTGACCTCTATCTGATTACTTTCTCATTTGCCTCCTCATCACATGTTGTCACATGTTTAAAATTCTGTCTGTCTGTTCCTGACTTTGCAGAGAAGTAATACAACAAGTAGAAAAAAATCTGTGTTAGCTAAAACTGTTTTTGTGAGGGTTTTTTTTTATTTTTTAAACCTCTTAAAGTCCCGCTGGCGACCAGTGATCAGGTTAGGGTTAGATTCAGAGCTGCTCTTTGCATTTTGTAACTTTAATTAGAAAAGAAAAGCTATAGTCAATGCAAGAGTCTTCTATTCTTTCTGAAATTATGCTTCTTTGTTATGCAACTAAAATGCAATGCCAACCCTGGTGCTGCACCTGAGCAGTTCACTGTTGACCCGCTGGATGTTAAGAGAGGTTCAATTTGAGACTTTAAAGCCAGACTTTGATGAGTTCTTCTAGTTTGCACTTACAGTACATGAAATCTTTGAAAATGCCTTGACTGGATCTTTCTTTGTTTAAAAGTGGAATATATATAAAAATCTAAAGTCAGTCCTTGGCTTCATTTTTTTGGTAATCTTCCATTGTTAATGTTAATCTTAGGTTACAAACTTGGTTGAATCTCCAGAATGTGAAGGTTCAGATGTTTTTAGTTAGAAGCTTCTTCAACCTTTTTCTTTTAAAGCTATTTTAGTCAGCATGTCTTCCTCGGTTGGACCCCACATCTCCTCCAGTTTTATGTGGATTAGTGAAATTACACCTAAAAAATGTTTCACTCTTAAACGCTGGACTTTATCTGTCCTTAATTGTCCTTTCTCACATGGGGCATGTGGCACTATATAGTTGCCCCAGGAGCGTTGTCACTACTGGCAGTCCTGGTTCAGGTGAGGGTGATGCCTGGGTGGAGCGTGTAGGAGGGTGCCCACTCGCTCTCTCCAAATTCTCCAGACAATTACTCTTTTTAATTTCTCATACAGGCGCAATGGGACGTCGCAAGGGCTTTGTACTAGGGAGCTGGCAAGTTAAAGAGTTTTTAATGCTCAATTTGATTGAGTCGGACATTTACGTTCTCACTTACAGCTCCGCTGAGTAATGAGGAGAAAAAGTGCAGAGCTGCAGTGAATGTGTGAAAGACAGTTCCCCTCAAAATAAACATCTATTTTTAGTATGCACAAAGATCAACTGATTTACCAGTGGTACTTGGTTTTAAGGCACATTGTAAAGAATACAGATGTTTCCTTTTGTGTTGAATTTGTGTTAGAAGCAAAAAAAAAAAAAAAGCCAAGTAAAGCAAACAGACTGTGTGAAACAACTGAAGATATGTTTGATTTTTCAATATGCATAATAAAATGTTGCACAGGTGATCGCGATCAGTGATTATCAAATTAAATGAAGTATATAAATAGTTTAGATAATCGTTTTTGTGGTAACGTTTTCTTTATTGATCTTGTGTATCAGTCTAACTTCAGTATGAGTCATCCTCTGCAGCAGGGAGGGAAAGTATGAAGCTTTGCTGCCTGAAATGTAAATTTTTCTTGGCATTCTTCCCAAGATGCAAACACACACTCACCCGCAACCTCCCTCTCTTATATCTGTACGTGTTGATATGCCTGCTGACTTTGATTTTCTGCTGTGGCCTGTTTTTCTTCTCTGCGCCAGAAAGAAAAGCACTGAGACAGATGTTTTATCTCTTATTTCTCTGTTTATCTTCCTCTCTTGCTCTCCCGCTTTCCCCCCTCGGTTCAGCCTTGTGACTGTTATGACAGTTTTTTTCAGAAGTGACAAATTCACTGTGCAGTTATAGATAAGAATTAAAATTTAATGCGCCAGGGCTGCATTGAGGGGGGAATGCATTTGATTTAAAAATCATACAATAGCACACAGTGAATCGGGTGAATAACATATTTGTGTAACTTTAAATGATTAGAGGAACCAAAAGCTCATCAGTTATAATAAAATGCTTATTAAATGTGTAGGAATGCGCTTCATATCTGGGCAGCAGCTGCTGAGTGGTGACGTCTTACTGTGTGTGTGTGTGTGTGTGTGTGTGTGTGTGTGTGTGTGTGTGTGTGTGTGTGTGTTGTAAATCTGCAGGCAGGAAGTTACCAGATGTGACTGTACTGGCATTTTTTTCTGTGATTCTTTCAGAGATGTGAAGCTCATTGTGCAGAAAAAAGTCTGCAATGAGCTAAAAACTAGTGATTTTCATTTTGTTTCATAAAACTCGCACTATTTATGGAAAGCATTTATTTTCTGAATAGTCATTTCAAGTTATGCATTTTTTAAACACCTCTAAAGTGTTTAGTTCTGTTGTCAGTACATAGAAGCATTACGCATGCCTGCGTTGCAAACACTTCACAGCAGTCATGAGGATAGTGTTACTGTGCAGTGGGAGCTGACTACTGTCAGCTAGAGGTGGGTGATATAGTCTCAAAATTATGTCACAATATTTTGTGAAAATGTGCAATAATGGTGTTTTTTTTTCATCATGTTAAAAAATACTGAACAGTGTTTTATTGATGCTTGTAGCTTGCTGGCAACAGCATATAGAAGTGTACCCAAATAAAGGGCGTTTTCAGTCTCTCTTATCCAGTGAGCTGCTATCACTGATGACACACTACCTAATCCAAAGTGTGAATCTATTGAAGCAAGCTACCAGCAGCAGCAGCAGGGCATTATAGTGCAATAGTGATGACACAGCATTATATGCAGTGACATGGCATAAGTCAAATGTAAGAAAGTGTTTTTTCTTTTCTTTTTTAGTGTTTTCTCTGGAGATTTTAAATATAAAATAAATGCTTAACACTTTAGTTTAACCAGAACTGCATCAGTCATTTCCATCTGCCATTTGCTCTTCCCGTCATATGGAGTTCAACTGGCAATGCTTGGTTAATTAATTTGTTTACATTTGGATTGCACATCACGGACTACCAGCATCTCTCCTTCCCAGACTGGTTGTTTGTTTGTTGTTTTCACCTTCAGCTGAAACAGTTTTCTTGCTTTTGTTGGAGGTTGTTGAAATAAGGGACTGTAAATGCATGGCGTTGCTATAGCAAAGGTATTGCAATATGACACTTTTATATAATGTTAAGATTTATACCAGTGTTAGCTCAGACAACTCTACTAAACAGTTTTAAAATAATCTCCTACAGGATGTTCCAGCAGTGTGAGGAGCCTCGCTTCACCATCGAGCAAATTGACCTCCTCCAGAGGCTACGGAGGACGGGCATCACCCAGGCAGAGGTTCTCCATGCTCTGGACACCCTGGATCACCTGGATCGGCAGCATGGGCACAAGTTGACCCATAAACCTTCCTATATGCCACCTTCGTCTTCCAGCACTGTCGCCGCCTCTTCTTCCATGACTTCTACCGCCACTCAGACAAGTTTTCCCAAAAACCGCCTCTCATTGTCCCCTAATAACAACTTTGACACCACCTCCCCACCTCTGCCTGTTCCGGTAGCCTCACCTAATACCATAACAGCAGTAGTGCCAAACGGTTTGGTTGCCGTTACCAATGGGAAGCTTTCACCACCCCGGTTTCCTCTTGGGGTGGTTAGCGCTACTGTAACCACACCAGGGTATGCGTTTGAAGCTAGTGAAGAGGACATAGACGTTGATGAAAAGGTGGAGGACCTGATGAGGTAAGAACAGCCCTTTAAATGGCAGGTAAAACGAGGGCACACCAGCTAAGAGCAGATTAGGTATTCTAGAAAGTTATTTTGGAGGTTGTTTTTCAGGGTGTGCATTCAGACAACAGGATTAGGAAACAGCTTTTTTTATTGTTTTAATTTGTATTAAATGTTGACTACAAGAGACAGCAATGATTGTATTTCCCTTTATAGGACTCACAAAGGTGATATTTCTGGTTTATTGGAAGGGTTAGTTTGAATAAGACTCCAAGACTGAGGAGTAACTGGCTGGCTTGCCAGATCTACATCTAGCAAACTTGCGTCATAAAGCACAGCAGACAAGTGCTTTCGTTGCTTTGTTAAGTGTTTTAGTCTGGTACTCCATGCCGTAAATGCCAGTAGACCAGCCTTCCCTTGATTCAATAATATACCTAGAAATTTGTTTTTTATAAAATAGTTTTACCAGTACTTTTGAAATACATACATGTAATACTTGCATGTACACTGAATTGGCCTGAAGTAAAAAGAAAAATCCTCAGAGCAAGAAGATAATTTTAGCCAATTGTTATCTTAAACAATATAACTTCAGACACTAGATAAACTTTGAAAAAATTAAATTAACCTTAAGGTTAGCCTTAAGAAGAAAAACAGTGTAGGTTTCAGAGGGGTTTGTAGTTATATGTACAACGTAGATTTAACGCAGAAGCATAAATCCGATGTGAAAAACCCGTATAGAGCCTGATGTCTGTATCTGAGGTGCTTAGATTCAAGTTTAAGGCGTGTCCTCATTTTTGTTTGATGGTGTCGCAATAATCTGTGACACTGTCTATATACAGGCTTTTGTTTATCCCTGATCACAGAAATCTGTCTATATACAGCCATGGATATATTTGCTTTTTTATGTCGTTGAGAATTTGATGCTCCGCTTAAGCACCGCCACTTATACTTCAATTGTTGCCCTGCAGAGACGTTGATGTATTTGCTGTGTTCCAGGATCTTCTATGTTATCATATAAAGTATAGGGCTTTGTATATGTTTATAACGTGTCACCTGTAAATTGGAAAAGTCAGTATAGGAGGAACCTGCATGTATGATATTTCGATAGTCATTCCTGGTAATGAGTGACGGAAAAGTGACTCTTGCCAACCAACTGCATCTAGTGCTACAAAGATTATAACACTATTTTCTTTAGTTTACTGCAAAAACAATAATAATTTAGAATTCAGATAGGTGCGTGTTGCTTTTAAAGACACATGTACAGTAATTTGCAGCAGCAGAGGGTATGTGTTAATACAGAGGGTCCTGATTCCTGACAAGGCTGCTTGTAGCTCACTCTGAATATGAATATGATGTGATGATTGCTGCCAAACAAATACTCACACATACAAAATGAACACAAGTACACACATCCAGTCTAGTGCCTCTCATCTGTAGTCTGCAGCCAGACGGCAGCAATCAGCAGTATTGATTTGAAGATGTGTGAAAATGAAATCAAAGGAGAAGGAGAGCAAGGAATATTACAGCAGCACACATTCAGGTACAACAGCCTGTAATGTATATCTGAACTGCAGACAGTTACATCTGGTATAAGTATAGTGATTGTTGTGTTGCAGTGTGTTAATTAATATCAGGCTTGTAATGTTGAAAATTTAAATGTGTTGTACCTTTTTCTTCGCCCTTCTTGTAGGAGGGACAGTGCTGTGATCAAGGAAGAGATTAAATCCTTCCTGGCGAACCGACGTATATCCCAGGCTGTGGTTGCTCAGGTAACAGGTGAGTATAAATTGAATCTGTTTGTTAAAACACAAGCAGAAATGTTGGTGTGTGTGAACAAGCACCAGACCCCCACAAGTGTGACTCTGGTCTTGCTCCTCCAGGAATTAGTCAGAGCCGGATCTCCCACTGGCTCCTACAGCAGGGATCGGACCTCAGCGAGCAGAAGAAGCGAGCTTTCTTCCGCTGGTACCAGCTGGAGAAGACCAATCCTGGTAACAACTAATTTCTCCAACAGCTCCACATTTCTCATAAAACGTTTCTCTAACTTTTCCACCTGTGGAAAAAATACTGTAAAATAAAACAGTAGGAGGGAGTTTTTTAATAACTAGTGTGCTGCTTTGAGTGTGTGACTCACTGTGTTGTCTATTTTTTTAGCAAGAGTGAAAGATTTTTTTTTTTAGGCTTAATCAAAATCAGAGATGTTTAGACTCGAGTCAAAAACTACTATTGAATATTTAAAATTACAAAAGAAGCTTACAACCAGCAATAGATCAATAATAAATAATAAGACTTTGGATTAAAAGGTTCACAGCAAAAACAAAAAAATAGACAAATACAATTAATTGAGAGACAAAACTGGTAAAGACAGAAGACGACAAATTTAAATTGGAACAATTACTAAAGCATTCACTCTAAAGGGAGCATTGTAATGAATTCCAGGTGGTCTAAGCATAGAAGAGTTCTGCCAAGCTCAGACAACTTGTGGGACTAGCATTGATAGATAGTATCTGTGTAAATTCCTTTGTAAGAAAAGAAAACTTGTTTTTTTGTTGTTGTTGTTTTTTTTTACATTTTAGGAATCTTGAGAATGCTACAGTTATGGAAACAAAGTGTGGAATAAACAATGGCTACATTGTGTTAAACATGGGATCAGCATATTGGAATGTACAGAATGAAAAACAGTGGAGTCTACTTCTAGTTAGCACGTGACCTCCCTATAGGGAAAACAAACTATCGCGGTGCTTCTTCCAGATATTATGACTCTTATCTGCCTTATTGGCTTGTTACTCTATAAAGTACTGATTCCCAGTCGGTCTGAAAAAAATACAACTTAAGAATTAAGAATGTAGTTGACCTGTCCCTGAAAGCAGGTTCAACAAACTCTGTCATCAACTCAGAGTTTCCCATTCCAGAAAGGCTGATCACAGTAAGTTCAAACAACTCTGAGCATGTTCACCGTTAGTTAAGCGTGTGCGTGAGTAGAGACAGTAAGTCATCATCAATGTGGAGGATTGGCAAGGATTCACCATGGCAACGGGTAAATACAGAGCGGAGCTTTCATTTTAATCCGGTGATGATTATGTTTCAGTGTGGGCCATGATGTTTATCTTTATAAATACAAGACAGGAGAAAGGAGACATTTTAATTAGTTTGGCCCACAATATACATTTTGTTTAAACGGTTTCTGGTCATCATCACCCAACTTGAATTTTCATTGGATGAAACTGGAATTTTACATTTGACTTTTATATCAAATTTTTCTTACCTAATCTAATCAGGTGTAACCTGACAGGGATAAAATGTCTGTGACAGAAACTGGAGATAAAATTCCGGGAAAATGGACACAGGTTACTTATTTGCCTGTGCTATTAGTTACACAGTAAAGCACCAGACTCTGGCACAGGTCCCCTGTCAAAAGGAAGTTTTTATTAAATGAAAAAATGCTTTTTGAATAGTTTCTCACCAGCAGTGGGCTGAAACAAAGTTATGTTTTATGGTGGAGTTCATTATTTCTGCCATTACTGGGTAAGAAATGCTTAATAAGATTTACAAAAAGTCTTCTTTAATATTTTTCAGTATAAGCATTTATAATTTGGGCACTCTTACAACCATAGCAGAGATCTTTGTAAGGAGTTACAATTACTAAGTGTTAAGCGATAGTAGCTGTTTCAAGTTATAACATATGTAAACATATTAAAAGAAATGTGTAAGTTTTTATAGAGCTATCTACATGATAATCAGCTAGATTTTAGATCTTTCAAACAGATGCAGATCAGATGACTGGATCTAAATTGGATACAGAGCCTGGAGGCTAATATCAGGCTGCATATTGACAAAATAAACGGTTTAAAATATATTTAGTTCAGAATGTTAAAGTCCTTTCAGCCTCATCTAAAAGTTAGAAATTAGTTATTCACATCATCACCACCTCTGACTGACATTTTTATATCAATGTGACCAACTATGACATATAAGTTAGTGATCATTGATCAGTGTATTATGTGTCTAAAGATTTATACATAGACAAAAGTTTGATTTAGACAAGGATTGCTGTGGTAATGTACGGTAAATGCTTCCAATGGCACGAAACTGACTTCCAGAACCTACTAATTTACAGAACCTAGTAAATCTCATTGATCTTTTGTCATGTTTGATGCTCCAGGTGCTACTCTGGCAATGCGAGCCACCCCCATACCACTGGAGGAGGTGATGGACTGGAATCAAGCTCCTCCTACATTTGGTTCGGCCCCCGGTGGCTTCCGTCTGCGGCGAGGGAGCAGATTTACCTGGAGGAAGGAGTGTCTGGCTGTCATGGAGGGGTGAGGATGAGGAGGGGTACTGATGTAGAATTGTAGAACTGATGTAAGAAGAAGTGAAAGTAACAAAGTGCAATGTGTATCTGCAGCTATTTCAATGATAACCAGTATCCCGATGAAGCCAAGAGAGAGGAGATTGCCACTGCCTGCAATGCTGTCATACAGAAACCAGGTACAGTCTTACTGGCGAAAGGTTGTGAATTGCATCCCAAATTAAGTATTAGTGATTGGGGAAA